ACTGCAGGGTGTAATAAAATTATTAAATTGTTAAAAAAATAATAAAAAAATAATTTATCAAAAAAATGATTTCGAATGTAAAATTTTAAAACATTTTATACAAGGCTGAGGTTGATCCGGATAATTTGGACAAGAAAAGTTGTTGTCTTTTTTAAATTCCTTCGTGCGTTTGATCGATCCGTTTGTCGTCTTTTATCCGAATAACATAATTTGCATGTAGTCTAATACTTATACCAGAATTATTTTTCTGAACGATATTATGTTGACTCCGTTGAAGGTTTTGACAAGGTTTTGTTGTATTTTTGGATAATCCTAATAATTTTACAGCTAATAATTCTCTAAATCTTCTAATTTTGGGGTATCACGAGTCTCACGGTGATACGACAATTAGATAGTTTATGAACATATCGTGCTCTGACCATCGAACACGATTACCTGCTGTGACATTGTGAGACCCTGGTCTCTAATAGACAAGCCGCACGAATAATTTATATACAATCCACAACTAAGAAGTATATTTATTACGACTAATCGAAGGGCATTCGATTAAGTCATATTATCCAAATTACAATCTAAATTATCCAAATTAAAATATCCAAAATATACTAAATCAGTATTATTATTCAATATTATTGTCAATACAATTACTATTATCAATATTTCTATCGCGAACAGTAATGGAAACAAATAATGCGAGACATTATTTTTGCGACCATCAACACGACTCGCGTTACTAAAATATCGGTAGAAGTACGCTTGATACAGCGACGCCTGAAGAAGATTTCGTTAGAAATACGCGCGGCAGTCAACGTGTTAACCCTTTGCGTTCTAACGGTGACTCTCTACCATTGGGATTGATGCGGCAACTTGAATGGCGACAATATTAAAATATCGCTATAAATAGGTTCCTGAGCTCTTTATATAATCTTATGAGGTGTAGAATAATATATTATTAAATGGATAGATTTATTATTATTTATTTATCTTAAATTAGATTGTGATCGTGAGTCGAACGATACCTTCGGCATTAGTCTGAATTTGATAGTCGTGGCAATAGATACATAAAATATTAAAATATAAAAGTTTTTTTGCGTTAATTTATGCGTGAAATTGAATTATAAATTAGCTGTAAGAAATTCTACCGAGTCCGAGTCTGGAGTTGCTGGTTCGACCGAGCGAAACAAGCCTGGAGTGTAAAGGATTAAAGTGTAATGGGTTATAAAGGGAAGTGAGATGGACACGTTTCTCTTTCGAAGAACGGGGAAAATTCGAAAGCGAAAATAAAAACGAAAAAAAAAAAGAAAAAGAGATCGAAGGTCGATTGTAATCGAAATCGGTTCCTATTCCCTTATTTACAGCCGACCAAATCCTCTTCCGTACGTACGTTCTCGCATAAAAAGCTCGTAAAAGGACGGGAGGGGTAAAAATACGATCGAGTTTCTCGAGGGAGGGGGGGAATCCGTGACCGTCCCGTATCAAGGGAAAAAATTCGCCTCACCTTCCAGCTTCCACGATTCGTTGATTCGATGATAAACCGAACGACGAGAATCGAGCCCTCGCGCGTTTCGATACGATTCGAGTCGATTTCGTTCGGGACGACGATCGATCGAGGACGGGGACGGGACGTTTCCCGCTCAAACAAGGCAAATTAGCATTGGAGAAGCGGCTAGATTCGGCGAATCGCTCCAGGCTGTTCGAGTTTGCTGCTCCAACTTTAATTGCCGTCGCTTCCCACTCGTCCTTTCGTTCTCCACCTTTTCCCTTCCCCTCTTCTCCTTTTCTCCTCCCCCCACCACCAATATTAATATTATATACATATATATGATAATTATATTATAATTATATTATAATAATTATATATATATATATATATATATATATATTATATAATATTTCGAATGGATCAACGAGGGACGGGAAGGAGGAAATCGAGAGCATGCAACGCAACGCAAAGTTGATTTCGTTCATCCGATCGTTCCGCGTGGATTCGTAACGCGACGCCTCGTCCCCGATTAATACCGGAAGTCTGGCAACTCCCCGTATCTCTCTCGCTCCACGAGCCACCGGTTCACCATCAACCATCGATGAACCGGACTATTTTCGCCGGTATGGAGTCGCTGGCAGCCACCCATCCACCAGGCTGCTGTTGGAAGAGTGGAGAGAGAGAGAGAAAAAGAGAGAGAGAGAGNNNNGAGAGAGAGAGAGAGAGAGAGAGAGAGAGAGAGAGAGAGAGAGAGAGAGAGAGAGAGTTGGCCGGAGTGGTGTTTCCCCGGGGTAAGCACGAGCATATACTTGCCCGGGGGCTTATTCAGACAAATCGGTGATTGCTGCGGGAGAGGCGAGCGAGAAACGGGTATAGGCGCTCGCCACACCGGTGGAGCATCACTGCTCCCCTCGCCCGCCCGCGCCACCTTCCTGCGAGAACGAAGACAGGACGGGGGAGGGGAGGGTTTAGCCCGAAATCCGCGATGGAGACGAAAAGGGAAGGAGACGAGAAAGATGAACGGATATAGATGCGGGAGGCGAGCGAGTTTTGGGAGAGAGGAGGGGGAAGCGAGATCGCGGAGGTTAGAGCGAAGAAGCGTCTGAGGAAGGGGGAGAGAGAGAGAGAGAGAGAGAGAAGAATGATTGTTTCCATGATTACAATGGAACGGAAGAGGAAAAGGGATGGAGGGAGGCTGGCCTAGGAAAAGGGTATGGGGAGCAATCTCTTAGCGCTAACGTAGATTCGTGGGCCGGGGTCTGCTCGAAATATTACACCAAAGGGAGGGGGAGGGGAGACGAGGTATGGCGAAAGGCCGTGCTTAGCCGTCGTCGTCATGGTATTCCCCGCACAGGGGAATTTCCTGACTTCCGTGGATAATGTGTGTCACCCGTCGAATCGTCGGAGCCGCGAAATTTTCCAAAGAAATCTCATCCGTTTATCTTCCTCGGCCGTGTGATATATAAGACGGAGACGCGTACGTACGTGCGGGCTAACCGTCTATCGATAACCCGTCTACCAGCAGTGCCCGGTACCAGCACTGCCGATCTCGTTTCCGATCTCCGCTTCCCGATTATTAGGGATATAGAGCGAGATACAGGCGAAACATCAACAACTCTCGAGACTATTATCGATCGAATCGCAATATAATTTCGAAAGGGGAGGAATTTTTTCATTAAGGTGAACGTTTCTATGGCCAGGATATTCTATGTTAAGTGTGCGAATAAGTTCTTTCCTTTTTTTCTAGGATCGTAACTTTTGACCGAATTCGAATCACTTCCCGTTCGTAGAAGTCATACGAAAGAGCGTTGATCCGTTTTTAACGAATTTGCGTTACGAGTGATTTCTTCAAAAATGTGCACAGTACTTAGAAAAATTGTCAGCGTTTATATTTTTTTTTTTTTTTTGGTGATATTTATTTTATCCAGCAATCTCAGAGAAACGAATGATAAGAACAAAATATCGATGCTACATTTCCAGAGAAATATACTAGATAATATAATAACTCGAGTCGCTCGTCATATGTACGATACGCGGCATCTTATGCAGAGACTATAGTCGCTCATAGTGTATCAATAACATTTTACGTAGAGCGACTTTAGTCGTCCGTAGTATATCAATGGCATCTTATGCAGAGCGACTATAGTCGCCTGAATAAAGAGTTAAGAGTCGCGAAGGCTGCTCTAACAATTTCCAGTTCTGCAACGATTTTGAACGCCGCGCCGGAAATTAGAAGAAATTATTCGCGTCGTTGAGAGAGAATGCCGTATCTTACGGAACGTGCGAAAAGATTCGAAGAAATTTTAATTTGAAAGACAACAATGTACGGAATAAATTGGACGAGTTCGACAATGAGTTAGAGGAATCGACAAATCGATATCTATTCGATCGAAACAATTGACCGAAAAAAAAGAAGTACACTTAATAATAATTAGACTTATAATCAAGAGGAAAGAAACAGATGTGCGAAAACTGATGAAGCGATGATTTCGACGTGGATTCAAAGATTAGAGATTAGACGACTAATTCGAGAGGGAGGGCTCTCGTTGTATCTCGGGGGAAAGAGGGGATCGATCGAAGGTAGTAGATACATAGACTGTGTGTCATAGAGAGAACAAGGGGAATTTCGCGGAATATCTGCGCACGCCTTGAGAACGGCGAACGCGTTAACCGATTCACCGAGTGGCAACGAGGGAATTGGAGAGGGGGGGACGCGCGTACGAATGCGGTCGGTGCCGCGTGACATCGTGTAACCCGACCCATACGGGCGCATACCTAGGCATACGGGGCATGTGCGCGCCACGACACTCGGCCTCGGATTAATTACCAAGTGCGGCGTTATAGATAAGGAGATGCGGGGAGGAGAAGGGGGAAAGGGAGGGGCGAGCGATACGACGACGTTAAATTGAACCTTTCGCCGGCGTTTGATTCCCGCGGTGGCAACTCCTCCCTAAAACCAATTACCGCTATACCGTTGGCCCTATACGCGCCAACACCTATCGGTCCCCGATATATCGGCTCGCCGCCCATAAACACGCGTCCTCCTATATCGACCGAGTCGATCACTCGACTCACCGTCGTCCTTCGCTTCTTTATTCGCTTTTTTTTCGGATATATACGCGAATTAATTCGTTCTTCGAAGAAGGAAAGAGTAAAAAGAGACAGAGAGAAGAAAGAAAGAAGGAAGAGAGGGATGGGTAAATGGTATTCGAATTGGCTGGAAAATTGTTTACGTCGTTAGATTACCATCGGTCCGTTTGCCCCTGCTTTGTCACTAATGCTGCTGCATTTAACCACATCTCCCCACACCCGTTTCGTATATAAATAACATTATACGTATTTGAATAGAAACGTCAATATAATTAACTAGGCGCGTATACAGGGGATTGCGCACGTGTGCGTTTATTCGGGACGCGTAAATCTGTTGGATGTATCTAATATTAACGCAATTAGGATAGCAATATATATATTATAATATTATCGTATTGAATGGAATTTTTTGAAACGATTGCCTCAGGTGGGATGGATTCGGGTGGAGGATAAAACGATACTGTCGTTGGGTCAGCGAACGGTGACTCACTCGCCCCGATTCTTGGTCACGTTGGAGAGCGCAAAGTCGAAGAATCAAAGCGAGTGGAGGGACGAGGAGGAGGCCACCTCGCGGCTTCACATCCGCCAACTTCGGGAAGCTGATCGGGGATGCTACATGTGCCAGCTGAACACGAAGCCTATGTTGAGCCAGCTGGGATGCGTGGATGTCCTAGGTATGCCTAATTGCGCGTTATACCGCATTCCTACGGCCAGATACAGTCGGGTGTTTGCGGTCGCTCGTATGCACACACGTCACGTACGCACGCACCGGTTTCGATTAGCCTATCTCGAGAAGGGATGGAAAATATGCGCGCCTCGCCGCTAGAATACGTTTCAATGGGACCCCTGTACAACCCCGTACCACACCATACCTCGTGTTGCTCGCCCGGCTCGCCTCTATTCGTTCCACCCGCACCATCCTCCGATTCCTACTTCCCTCGACTTCCTCCCCCTGTGTATAGGGTACAACGCGACCCAACCGTACATTACCCGACCCTCTCTTTCTCTCTGTGCGTCTGGTCCCGACCCTGATCTCTTCCACTGGATAGGTGTAGTTGCGAACGTAGTAGTTGTATCGTGCGTGTGCGTGTGGACACCGCGAGGGCACGAGGGAGGGGGAGGGAGGGGGAATTCATCGAGAGTGCGTATGCTTGCCTCCGGTATTCAACTCGAAAGAGCGATCGGCCCGAATGGAATGAAATTCCTTTGTGGGCAAACACAGGAAAGGTCCCGAGCATCCTTTTTTCTTTTTTCTTTTTTTTTTTTTTTTTTCTCTCGCCCAACCCGAACTCGCCCATCTTCCCCTCCCCCCTCCCCTCTTCTATCTATATACGATATTTGTCCAACCTGAATCGCGTGTAATTGAAATGGCCTCTCTCTTTCTCCGTGCCTATCCTGAAAGAAACGAGATCTCATCGAGAGAATGTTCCTTCTGTACCGTTACCCTTCTCCCCCTCCCCCCATCTCCCACGAAAGGATAGAATAGGTATTTCATTTTTCACGGGAGCAGGGAGCAGCAGTTTTGACTTGATTTCAAATCGAGAAGGGTCCGGATTCCAGAACCCCACCCCCTCCCCCGGATTTTTACGCCCGAAATTTTTCGATACAACTCTTTCCTCTTTTTTTCCTCCTCTCTCTTTCTCTCCCTCTGTTCACAGTTCCGCCGGATATACTTAGCTCCGGCACATCGGAAGGCGAAGTATCCGTTCTGGAGGGTGAAAACGCTACCCTCTCGTGTAAAGCTACCGGGAGACCGGCACCTCGTGTGCTCTGGAGACGCGAGAAAAGTGGTTTCATACTTATGAGGGGTCTTCACGATCCGCTGATACCAGGTAAGATATTACATTTTTATCTCGAGTCGAGCACTCTCGCGAGCGTCGTTCCCGGTGACAAATAACCTTCGATTCTCCTCTTTTTATTAATTCTTAAGACCGCTCGAAACGTCCGCCGCCGCCGTCGCCTCCTTCTCCTTCTCTCGATATCACTCTTCAAATATCGCCCATCCTCGAGTTTCCCTCGATTCTTCTTTCCTTCTTCTTTTCGAAAAATTATCCCTTTTTCTCTCATCACTCCCTCTTCTCCCCGTTACTCGATTCGATCGCGTCCGACTCGACCGTTCGATTAAAATTTCAAGATTTTCGAGGTACGAACGCTACACTTTTTCCTACGACTGAGCGTCCAAGATATCGGGACGAGGAGAGGAGAGGGGGAAGGAGGGAGGGAGCAGCGTCACGACTCTCGGCACGCCATCTAGATTCGGTTTAAACGGAACGTGAAGACATCGTAAATCGGGCAAGCCCACGTGATGCCGATCGAAAGCAATTACGGTGGAACGCGAGCTCTCATTGAATGGAGATTAGTCCGTTCGAAACGACTTTCGATATATTTCCACGTGGTGCACGTGCTCTCGCACCACGATCCTGCACCGTGGTATCGTAGAATTCGACGCTTTCTTCGTTTCTCCCCGAGATGATCGACGGATCGCTGTGAAAATAATTCGGGAGGAGGAGGGAAATGGCGTTGGCGTCCAACGCATTTTTCGCTCGGACGCGTGGCAAATTCGTCCGTCGTCGATCGTCCCCGCGAGATATTGATGGTTACGAATTCTCGAACGGTTGTTGATAAATCGATATGCAATATTTTGAGAGTACGGTGGACGTTGCGACAAAAATACGCGTATTTTGAATCGAGAGAGAGAGAGAGAGAGAGAGAGAGAGAGAGAGAGAGAGAGAGAGAGAGAGAGAGGTGGATCGAAACTTGTCAACGCGAACAATGAATCTCTCATTTTCGATGGATCTCATTAGACGGGTTTGACACGTTTTATCTGTACGCGATGAGACGATGCGCACGACGATTTATGTCGCCCGCGTTTCCTCGATAATAATCTAATTAGCGAGAGGTCGGTCGATTTCGAAAGCGTTGCGAGTATACACGCATAATTAAACGATAATACGATAAACGATCGTCAACTTTCTCTGCGCTCTTGCCGCGCAATTTTCCCAGGAATTTTACGATAGGATCCTTCGCACGGTTTTCGTGAAGTATCGATTTATCATATTCACTGACAGCAGTTGGCGAATATTTGTCGGTTGTACGTTTCAATTATCATACTTTCGCTCGTTGTATGCATACCGTACGATACCGTCACTCGTTTAACGATAATTCTTCCTTAAATCGTTTGTCCGATTCCTCGTTAACGAATAATGAGATTTAGGGTCGTAATAGGCGGTGGTCTCGTTGTTTTAACGCAAAGGACATATTTCGCGTGTAATTTGGTGTAGTTGCGAACGTTGGCATCCGGCCAGCGATATGTATACGAGAGCTTTCAACCAGATATTCATACGATGCGAGATTTTATAGTGGACAACCAGTCCGGTGAGAAGCTGGAATTAACAAGAGTGGACAGGAAGCAAATGGGAGCTTATCTTTGCATAGCGAAAAACGAAGTGCCCCCAGCAGTCAGCAAAAGAGTCTATCTAAGGGTAAACTGTAAGTATTTTTGAATCCTCGATGATATTATTCTCGCGATGCTAATATTCTGCTAATATATAAAATAAGATCGATCGAATTAATTATCGATCGGAGATATTTGTTTTATTTGTTTTTCAGTTCCACCTAGCGCAAAGGTTCCCAATCAAATATTAAGCTCACCTCTGGACACGAACGTATCGTTGGTCTGTTTGATCGAAGCTTATCCAAAGACGATTAACTTGTGGACCAGGAAGGAACAAGTTATTATGAGTGGGTATGTTATCACAGAACGTGTATTACACTTATTTAAGAGTTTCTTTACGATTAACGCGCGGCGCGTGAGATTCGACGTGTCGTCCAAATATGATCAAGCGCGAAATCAATTCCACGCGCACACACACATACACACATACACACATACACACACGTACTTTCGAACTGTAAAGTTAAGCGATGTGTCAACACAGTGGTAGATACGAAATCGACGAACGGGGACATCCGGACGAAGAATGGAAGACAACGAGCGAGCTGAAGATAAGCCGTTTAGAGAAAACGGATTTGGGAGAGTACACGTGTTCAGCGTCCTCAAGTATGGGAAAAGCCGAGGCTACCCTTAGAGTTTACGGTGAGTCGACATATACGTATACGATCGACGAACACTGTCATTTTTCGACAACCGCCATTCCATAGAAAAATTTCCGTCTCTCTTGACACTTTGACATCCGCTTTTATTTCTTCTCTTGCCCTTCTTTCGAATCATCCACTCCACGAATAACCAACAAACTTCGATATCGAACTTTATACAACGTTCACATGCCATCATTCGTTTTTGCACGTGAATCTAAGAATGCCCCCTCCACTTTGGCTTTTTCTTCTTGTTTACACGATACGATATAGGGAAACTGTTTTCAGAAATCGAACGAGCAACCATACGAACTACTTCGGCCAGTTGGAAGTTGAGCAAGGGAAAATCAAAGTTTGCTCAAATTACTAAAAATCGAATTTTTCATCAGATGAGTACACCAGCGATGCAAAAAAGTACCGTAAAAATCGTTTACAGCAAACACATGATCACTTCGACGACGGTAAATCCACGCGCGCCTTTCGTCAAAGACGAGAACTTATTCAAGAATCGCGACATCTCGAACGAGAGAAATTGTGCCAATGCGAAGAACGATAGCGGTATGCGAGTTTATGTCGTCTGCTTCCTCTTCTTCTTTACCATTCGATAAATATCAACCAATCAGATTGATAGACGAGAGAAGAACTCTGTCGATACGTTAGAACGAAATACAAATACTACGGGTGTTCGTTCGCGTTTCACGCGTATTGAAGTGAACGAGAGATCGAACGATTGCGAATCGTCGAGAAGGAACCGCGATTTTCAAAGTTCGTATTTCGTTTCATTTCCAGCGACGATACAGCGAACAAATCTATCCCCTTCCTCTCCTCCGCCCTCTATCTTTCTCTCCTCTCCTCTCCTCTCCTCTCTCTCTCTCTCTCTCTCTCTCTCTGATGTATATTTTTCGCCAAGATAATAGTTCGTGGCGAATAATGTTGCGAATTTGAAAAGATAAATGCTTACGAATGTATTTTTTATGACCCTTTTATCCGTTTTGGAATACGGGGAAAAGAATAAAGTCGTGAGCGAAGTGTGTTCTTTAGTTCGACTATAATAAAATGTGACATTGTCGAGTATTTTTTTAACAATGAACAAAGTGAAAGAAATACAAGATTTCTCGTTGAAATTATTATTTACGATCTGTGGAATTATTAGAAGTTACGATGTAATTTTTATAACTTTAGCATCGAAAGCCTTACACATGCAGGGTGTCTATCTCAAGTGGGCCACCAGTGTCATTCACGAGATCATCGTTCGACAAATACGAGGAAAAACTTATACTTTCGATTGATTACTCCACACTTCGGAATTATTTCAACAATGGCAGTGGCGATCCAATTAAAATGAACATCCTTTATAATATCTCTTTACGTCGTAATATATATAATTATTATCAACGATTAATTATATTTTCAAGTTCTGCAAGAATCGCGCTTTATCGCGAATTGATGCTGTTTAATCAACTATTCGATTATACTCGAACACAGACAAATAATTAGCATACTAATTTGTACGTAAGGGATAATGAGATAATATCTTTATTTATCGGTACGATAACAGAGTGAATTGAGATTGTAAGTGGCATCTTAACGAATGTTAAACACGTCATATCTAAGATTCATATCCGTAGGGCGCATAATACGGTATTATATATATTTTAGAAAGATATTAGACTTTACTTTTATTATTTTATGTATTTTTTTAATTATCCGTAGGCACAAATAACGTACCTCATATGCCAACGATTAAACGAGACCACAATCATAAGTATAATCAATCGGGTTCATTGCGAGGAATTTAAATTAAATTTTATCACGCGATCATCGAATTCATGTTTAAACCATTTTTTATATATGTATCTCGTAATCGATTGATTATCGTTATTCATCGTTATTTAGTACCTTTTTATTTTTTCCTACTTTTTCCATTTCTTTTTTTTTTTAATTCCCATTTACATCACATATATATATTATATAATACGTATTTAGCATACAAATTATTTATGATAATATTACGAAGAAAATAATTTTCCTTCGAGAAATGGACAATAAGCGTTCCTAATAGGTTGTGCTTTCTATCATTTTTCAATGTTCCTCGCAAAACCGCAATTCATACATTACTCTGTAATTATGATCTATGTGCGAAATAGTGCGATTAGAAAGTCTCGATGTTTTTTAACGGATAACATTTTTAATCCGAGAACGTTGAAACTTTCTTCTTGTACAGTTATTATCATGAATGTCTTCTATTACAGAGTACAAACTTTAGTCTCAATGCGTGGCTTATTATTATTAATAATATAATAGTATTTATCCGCGAAATAAACAAGAAAATACACATGTTAAATACATTTATTTAACAAATATTGTATATCGTAAAACACTGCTCAATATAACGACTTTACAATAACTATAATAAAAAAATGTTGTTGTTTATAGAAAAAAAAATATTATAAAAATACGATGAAAAATGTGCTCAAATTGGATAATTATATAGCTTTGGAGAAACCAACATGTTGACAAATAAAACATACCATGCAACTAGTAGAGATATTAGTTATTTTTTTTCCATTTTAAATTACTTATAAATAATTTCCATTCTCTTTAAATATAATTTAAATGATGAAAATTCAAATACAAATATGTACATTTATTTATAATAATTGAATAAAACTTACTTTTTATTTACATTTAAATCCACATTTTACACTATTTTCCTTATACAGAATTATATTTGTTTGAATCTTAATTTTATTCGATATTATAATATTATGACCAAAACAAAATATTGAAAGCCATAACAAGACAACTCACTGCCACATATGGACTTTTTCTTTCGCCAATTCTAGCGCATTTCCAAAGAGTACCCTGAAAACTAAACATAATATATTAATATTAATGTATATATATATATATATATATATATAAAATAAAATTATCACAAAATATACATACCCAACTTTTCCTAATCGACTGTCCAATAAACTGGGAACAATAGATCTAATGTAAGTACAGGTACATATCAATAACAAAATTACCGTCAATAGACTCTGAAAATTAAATAGGGCAGACTGTCCCCCAAAAAAAGAGATTTTAAAAAAAAACTATTTGAATTAATGTATTCTTTTTGAATATCAAAGAGGTTATAAAAAATGATAAGATTTAAAAATTGTTTATGATCAATCGTAAAATAAATATTTAAAATATAAATTATACAATTTAAAAATTTATCATCTTACCATTACGATTTAATAAAGATAAGTTTTGATATCGAATTATTGTAAATCAATTTGCATACAAAAAACAACTTCACGTAGATCAAAACAAAATTTCGCCATAACAAAGGGTGAATATACAAGAAACGAAAATTTTTCAGAAGAATTAGCATTTAACATAAAACTATCTTTATAATTATATGAATGATTACTTAATTTTATATTACAATTTATTATATTACAATTAAAAAATGTATATTATCTACTGTCGAAGATCTATCGATAATATTATATTTAAAAATAAAAACAATTATTAGCGAACTTAATCATCTATATAATTGCATTATGTTAATGGCTTATTAGTTATAAGAGTGCTTTTAAACGAAACGTTATTTGATACGTAAAATATTTATCTTCGAATTAAATGATAAATGAATAATTATAGAAACATGTTGTCGGTATTTAAGAATATTTAAAGTTTATGATAAACATAAGACTGACTCCCTCTATGTATTCCACGATCAACGCGTGCAGTAGTAAAATGGCTGCCGTAAAACGTCAATACATTTTATATCAATAACAGCGTACTTTTGTAAATAATCGTGGTAAGGAGGATTGCAATAAAACGAATGCCGTTCAATTAATATTTTTAGTTTTCTTTTCATAGTCGTGTGTATGAAGGAGTGCGTGTTTACGAAAAATGGCAGAATTTGTGCGTGGAGGTCCGAGCGTGTCGAACAGTGCTAAGGTATGTACGAATATTATTCATTCTACTTATTCATCTAATATCATGATAATATTAAAAATTCAATGGAAAAAAACAAAATATAATTATATATTTAAAAACTTATTCTAACTTTTAAAGTTTTAAAGATATTTATAAATTCTTTATTATTTTTTTAAATATTGCGACGGAAAAGTACTTATTAGACAAAGGTATTATTTATGAATAATGTTTTTGATAAGTTTCTATATTTTTCAAAAAAATAAAAGGTGATATATGTAAAAGAAATTATAAACAAATATGTAAACATAATATTTATGTTTTGTTGACAAAAGTATATGTTATCTTTGATATATAATATGACATTTTATTTTAAAAATAAAAATATTTATATAGTATATACTTAAATTAAAAAAATTTTTATTATTATGTTATGTTATAAATGCTTAAAAATTTTATATAATTTTATCTATAGATGGATCACAATAGTAAAGGAGGTTCTCCTAGCACTGGTAGTGAAGATGGTGGACAGAATGAATCTATGAATGCAGAAAATGAATTTGATCCTTTTCTTGAAAATATACCAGATGATATTCAAGATACAGAAGAACCTGATAGTGCTAATGCAACATTATTAACAGCTCCACCAGAAAATCAGTGAGATTTAATATTAATAAAATTTTGATTTATGGAATAAAGATATTATTTTTAATTGTATTTGATATTTAATAAATGTAAAATTCTTAATAATTTATAGATGGTATCATGGTAGATTAGATAGATTTACTGCAGAAGAAAGACTATGGGATGCAAGTAAAATGGGCAGTTATTTAGTGCGTGAAAGTGACAGAAAACCTGGAAGTTATGTATTATCCTATTTAGGCAGAACTGGCATTAATCATTTTAGAATTACAGCTGTGTGTGGAGATTATTATATTGGTATTGTAAACATTTAAATTTAATGAATATTTATAATTTTAACTGATGAATTAATATATATTTTATTATAGGAGGTAGACAGTTCAATAGCTTATCAGATCTTGTTGCATATTATACTCATTGCTCCGATCTTTTAAAGAGAGAAAGACTTATTCATCCTACTCCACCTCCTGAACCAGTGAATGATAAGAAGCGAATAGTTGCAATACTGCCATATACAAAAATGCCTGATACAGATGAATTAAGTTTTCAAAAGGGTGACATATTTTTTGTGCACAATGATATGGGAGATGGTTGGTTATGGGTTACTGCACATAGAACTGGTGAACAAGGCTTAATTTTTCGTGAATTGGTGGAGGATCTGGATGATTCCATTGATCCTAATACTGTGTTCTCTTGGTTTCATCCTAATGTTACTAAAAGTGAAGCTGTCGACATGTTGGTGAAGGCAGGACCTGGTAGTTTCTTGGTAAGTTGTAATATCATTTTATAATCTAGAATGATTAAAAATTTTATATTATATATAAAATTTATATATAATAATTTTTTTATTTTTTATTTTATTGTATAGGTCAGACCTTCAGATAATAGTCCTGGAGATTATTCACTTTTCTTTCATATAAACAATCAAATTCAAAGATTTAGAATTGAAAAAAAGGGAGTACGTTATCTTATGGGTGGTAGAACTTTTGAATGTCTTGATGCTGTTATAAATAGGTATGATATTTTTTCTATTTAACTTTTATATTTATAAGTTATCACGAAAATATTTATATTCGTAGATATCGGAAAGAGCAAATAGTTGAGGGTCATACTTTAGTTCAAGCAATGGTAACAGAACCTGATGGTAGTGTAAGAGTTAATAGAGAAGTGCAACACGCGGAAAAAATATATGCAACTCTTAGAGAATGTCGGGAACAATCTGGAGCAAAGAAAAATAAAGGAATTAAAATGCAAGGATATTTAGAAAAAAAATCAGAAAAAAATAAAAAATGGAAAGCATTGTATTTTGTACTTTTAGTGGATGCAACTGACACTCATTTGTATTTGTATGACAATCCAAAAAGGACCAAACCTAAAGGTCTTATCGATTTAAGCTGTGCTTATTTATATCAGGTATAGCAAATTTTATAAACAAAACATTTCATTTTTCCATATGATTATATCAGTTTTCAGACTGTCTTATTTTTAAAATATATATATGTAATTATGTCATATGTATGTAGCATTGAAAACAGCAAGTAAGGATTGTAATGTTTTAATTGTTTGAGATTCATTTCTCAGATATAGTTTTTTTAGGTTCATGAAAGTGTGTTCGATAGACCTCATTGCTTTCAATTAGTTGAACGTGCTTTACCATGTTTGGCAACGATAACATATTTGGCTGCTCCAAATTCAGAGAATGCTTTAGACTGGATTAATGCCTTAAAACCATTATGTGTATCACAACTTACTCGTGCTCCAAAAGTTGCTCGTCTACGTGAATTACGTTCATTACATCTGCATATTTTAGATGCTCATAGACTTCCATATAAACTAGTACCGAACCCATTCATCATAGTGGCTCTAAATAATGTAAAAGTTGCTCGCACAAAAGTCAAAACAGGATTACATCCAATTTGGGATGAAGAATTCATTTTAGAGTATGTATATGTTTTGTCTAATATTGATAAAATATTGATTATATTTGAATAATATTTATCATAAATTGCTCCATAGGGATGTGCCACCAGATGTTATGTCGTTTTCTTTAACATTGTACAATAAAGGAAAACGTAGTAAAGATACTGAAGTGGCAGAATTGACCGTTGAATTGGCGAGTTTAACTAATGGGGAAGAAATGGATGAATGGTATCCATTGTCAGGCCTTACTCCAATAGGCGAATGGGGTGTACTTCGTTTACGAATAAGGTGAAAATAAATTCTTTCTGATTTTTTCTTTTTAAAAAAGAGAATTTTTTATACATTGCATATTGCATTTTTAGAATATTAAGGTACGAATTTATACATGTTTTCTGCATTTATTACGTTGCAGGTATCGGCACGATCTAGCAATGCCTCCGGAAGAATATAGTCCATTGCAACAACTATTATTAGATCCAGAACTGCATGTTGTTAGAGCATTAGCAGATGTGTGTCATTTGGATAGAGTACCATTGGCAAATAGTTTACTTAGAATATTTAGGTATATAAACAAAAAATGTATAAAATATATATATATATATATATATTAAATATTCTTTTTTTTCCTTTTTTTAATAATAAGATTATAATTTGAAATGTTTATATTTAGGCACGAAAGAAAAGAAGCAGATCTTCTGAGATCGTTAAATCAAGCGGAAGTATGTATATTGATCTATATTGATATTTATAAAGAAATAGATTTTTTCTTCTTTTTTTTTTTTATTAAATTAAAATAAAAATAATTAATTATTTTATTTAGGTGGACAAGGAAGATGAAACACCAACACTTTTTAGAGCTGCTAGTCTTACAACTACATTAATGGATTTATATATGAAATCAGTTTGTACTTCTTTTTTGAAAGCCGCTTTACGCGATACCATAGTGAAATTAATTGAAAGTAAACAGAGCTGTGAATTAAATCCAACAAAAATGGATTCTCCGGAAGATGCATGCAGCAATGCAGAATTTCTATTACAAGTAAAAA